TATTGTTGTTTTACAATTACTTTATTTAAATGGACAGATGACAAAAAAGGGGTTGAGTGAGGTGTGTATGTACAGGGAATTTGTATTATGTTGTAAAGAATCTGCAGTCCCTTGACAGGTTTATTAACATTAATGAATTTTTCAAGCATATCATATCATATTCAACGAATATTCGAATAAGAAAATATATTATTCGTATCACGTCTATCAAAGAACCGTTCGGGCACGACGTCCAGATCCGACTGTCACAGTCTTGCGACGTAAAAGCGCAGAAGGATTTAGTAGTGAAGCACTTGTAATGTTCTTCAAAGTTAAGAATTGGTTCTCTCTCTCTCTCTCTCCCCCTCTCTCTCTCTCTCTCTCTCTCTCTCTCTCTCTCTCTCTCTCTCTCTCTCTCTCTCTCTCTCTCTCTCTCTCTCTCTCTCTCTTCACACACATGTTAGCATGCACGCACATACAAGCACATACATGCATGCATGAATGCATACATACATACATGCATACATACATACATGCATACATACATACATACATACATACATACATACATACATACATACATACATACATACATACATACATACATACATACATACATACATACACACACACACACACACACACACACACATACATACATACATACATACATACATACATACATACATACATACATACATACATACATACATACATACATACATACATACATACATACATACATACATACATACATACAATTCATTTTAATGCATTTTTGGCAATCGTAATGTAAAAATTCCTCAATGTTTTCTCACTTAGTTAGTACCATTGTTAGTACGATCCCTCAATGTTTTTTTAATATGTTATGTAGCAGATTAAGCTCAGAATATAAACTGAATTACAGAGGGAAATGCATCCAGTTGTGTAAGGTTTTTATTTGCATTTCTTCTTTTGACCTTTAAAGGTTTAGCAATTCTAATTTAAAAAACTTAAAAATATAAAATGGTACACAAATCAAAATATTCAGCTGAAGTTTTTATTTGATAACTTGAGAAGATGTATCCCATATACTATCAGTATTATTTGTCGCATAAACTACAAAAAGCTTGTGTAACGTTTTTTCTACTTGGTCTGAGAAAAGAAAATATGAGTAGAGAAGCTTTGTCTTGACAAGTCGGCAAGCCGTGTTTACGGTTTTTATAGACGTACTTTGGAAGCCATGTTTGCGTTTCTGCAGAAGTATCTTGGATTTGTTTACGCGTGTTTAAATAAATATGAAAATATAAAAATAGGTGGGATCTTTTTGACAGGGTTCTTGGGACGGCCAGCAAAGTGGTTCATTTAAATATTTCAGGGATGTGACAGAGTGACAGAATGATAGCCTAAAGACCATCGTGAATTTTAATTTTTTTGCCTAGTTCTATTCATACTATCTATCTATCGGGTTTCAATTGTTTCTATGTTAATCTTCTAAAGGGAGTTTTTCTCAAAATCTTGAATTTGAATTGAAACTGAAGCTGTCTCAAATACAGCCCACCAAATGGGATTCATCAAGAAATATTAGTCTAGACTATGAATTGAAAAATCAATCAAATTTTCCTTTTTTATTCCTACGCCCCCCCACCACCACCATCCCTTCAAATGTTCAAGACGGAGGAGAAATTAGGGTGAAACTATACTTCACTGTAGTATCGGCAGCCGTTGTTCAATTGGTGGAGATTTTAGTAACGATTATAAATCTGTTGCTTTTCACTTTAGCATATGTTCTGTTTTAGGGCTGACAATTACCATACCTTATCATACCATCTGATATGATTTTAAAGAAAACTTCCAATCGATAAAAATTTTCGCTACGCTTATAACACTAGCGAGACTCCGAATGATTGGAACTGGATATTGCATGAATATTCGATCAAACCATTATGCTACATAAAGTGATAATACTGTAAAGCTGGCGGAAAACGCTATTAATGTGTGGGATACAAAAAATGGACATGTGAATATATAGCGTGGGACATGCGAATTAAGCGTTGGATAGGTGTCTGAAGCGTTTTAGAGACGCACGAAAGGGTTTGATTTGATAAGCTCTATTGTCCTTTTTTATAACTCCTGACCTAACTTTTTCAGATGTTACAGCAATATTGTCTAACATCTTTCATCCTTCCACACCCCACATCCACCCTCGATAGGGCCTTGTGTGTTGTCATTTTACTTTATGGAATAGCTTAAGTTTTTCGAAGAACATATAACATTCATTTTTATTTATTTTTAATGTCAGATCTTTGGTCAAAATCAAATTGTTTGTTTACAATCACAAGAAAGCAGGGAAGTGATTCTGTATGGTATCCTCGAGTTCCAATTATTCTAGAATTATACGTTATATGCACACGTAGCAGACATTTCAGTTCTAATGTTTAAGTATACATTTGAAGATTTGTAGATATAAAACTATAGCTTATGCATTTGACGATACCTATAATAGGAGTTAGTGAAACAGAGATACAATGTTGCTATAATATCAAGAAAACGGATAGAAATTTTTAAAAATCATGTGGCGTACGTATGCTTTGGAAAATAAAAATATGGTTGCTCGGATAAAAAAAATGTATCTGTATTTCTAACGTAGTTCAGGTTATTTCGCTTTTGGCATTTGTTTCTATTTGTGTACTGAGGTATTTGTTAAATTGTCAATTAACGTCATATTCAATCTTTTACAAAGACGAATCTCAAGCCGCATCCATCCCATATATTAGATAAAGAATTTTGATATCTCCAATCATAATTGCTGTTACTTAAACTTTAGTCCATCTAATGCTTGCAATTAAGCGTTACAAGAGGTGGGTTGTATATGGTATGAAGGCTGTAATTCATCGTAATATAATAATCATATGACTTTTGTATTGTATGAACGTTGTAATTCATTCTGATATTACAAATCATTTGGATTTTGTTGTAAGTTATTATTATGTTACAATTAATGAGTTTTGTGTTGTATGAACGGTGTTATTCATTATGATATATCATATCATTTGGATTTTGTTGTAATTTATTATTATGCTACAATTAATGAGTTATGTGTTGTATGAATGTTGTTCTTCATTATATTACAATTTGTGTATGGTTTATATTGTATCAATGTGGCAATTCATCATTATGGGATATCGGTTGCTATATATTATGCAGCTTTGTTACTCCTGCCATGTATCACACGTCCTTGAACACAAGATTATACTTTGTATAATTCATACGTAATGATATTATAGAAAGACACAAATAGGTTTGAAATGAATGCTTCTAGCCATCCAGTGCACACACAAATAGCCATCCTCTTGTTTGTATATTATCTCAGTAGTCTGCAGTTTTCTCAATAAAGTACGACGAACTTTCTGACAACATGAAATTACCTTAACGGTATTATAAAATAACACAAGGAATGCAAGCGTGACCACAACCCTCCGCTCGATTCGAATTTTTATCACGCGTCTTTTATCCCTTCAGAATCCCACGAAAAAAGAAAAACTACATATATCTATAGCCCATTTCATATCGGATTTAACCGAGTTGCTCCGTAATTATCCTAAAAACCTCCCGAGTCACTTTATACTCCAGCCAATCAAACGCTGGTAGGCATCTGTACATAACAAAATGGCATACATTGTTGTTTAGACGTATCAGATTAAAACAAATTAAGAAATGTCCGCTACCTGCCCGCTAAATGCCTGGGACTTCTGCAGTTTTATCGTCGAAAAATATTCCAGGTTTGTTATACTGCGGATTAATACGAAAAAAAAATTTTTATTGGTAAACAAAACTCGATTTATAAAATACGGTGTTATGGTTAAAAAAGGGATTAAATTAGTAACATCGACACCCTTTCAATACTTGCATGTACATGTCCAGATGTAAACAGCTCATAGCTACTTTCTCGTATGGCTATAAAATCCAGAAAACAAGACAGGATGGTTCCAATATTAAATTTTGTCAATATCTGTGGCATAGGCATTTTTCAACTCTGTAAAAGAAGCTGAAGTAGTTGGAACAGTTGATGCTAATGCTGATGCGTCCGCCTTGTTTTGACTCCGCTATACTATACTAGGGAGCATACTAAGCAAGAGACCAGACTATTTGCCTACCAGCTATCGATTGGATATTGGGGTCAGTTGACCACCCGCCACGTGATCGAAATTCCGAGCAAATTACGAAGTTCGCCGAAGTCTCCATGAAATGGTCTATTCATTAAAACAGTATTGTACCAACGCATCACTCTCAAACGACCATCGCATGAATCCAAGCCGGCGAATTAACCTTTATTTTCACCATTACGGTTGTAAATCCTGGAAAAATTAACCATGCCAGGAAGTAACCAATTTCTACTAGTTTCAACCATGCAGTAAATATGCGTTAGGGTCTAATAATCGTTCCGAACACGGCACAGAATCTGTTCTCTTTTAATAATAGGCTTTAATAGTTGAATGTGATGACGTCATCAACTGTTATTTGTACTATCAGAATTTTAACTACATATTTCTGTTCTGGAAATTTATAAAAAAAATTATTAAATGATGTAATCTGAAATAAATTTTTAAAAAAAAACAAGTTAAAGATTTTATCTTGTGAAATTAGTTTCATAATGTTTTTTAGCCCGTGGTAGAAATGTGTTACTTCCTGGCATGGTTCAAACTAAATTGCACAATATTAACAGGAACAAAATCATTCTGAGCACGGTGAAGACAGATATATGTCTGTGTGAGTGTGGTTGTGTGTGTGTGTGTGTGTGTGTGTGTGTGTGTGTGTGTAATTTGGATTTTTAACAATTTTTCAATTATTTCGCTACGATGTCTGCAGTGTGGCAGTATATAGTGATCTCTAGCACTGGGGCATCATACTACAGACATGTAGCATGATGTCCAACCCAGTCATTTATTCTAACACTTGGCTGACCAGTCCTAACACTAAACTCGTAAAACTGACCGCCTAGCGAGGCAGCTGTTAGTACCATGTTTGTAAGTCTTTGGTATGGCTCCGCCGGGATTCGAACCCGCGACCTCATGCATCTGAGGCGGACACTCTAGATTCTAGGCCACCGGAGCGGTCCAAGACAGGCATAAGTGCATTGGCAATCCAACACAAACAATGGGAAATATATTTAACGATTTTCGTAAATAAACAATTTAATCTCTGTCAACTTTCCATCTCTCTTAAGGTAAACTGCAACGATTAAAATATGTTCCATCAAATTATTACTTGAACACACAGCTTAAGTTCTCCATGTGGCGGAATGTTTTATAGAGTATGTTTTTTTTGTAGTACAAGACGTGAACGTTCTTGACACAGAACGTGTGTTTGTTTTTAATACCACACCAGGAAATGTATATGAAACGGTTCAATATAGACCTAAAATGTATGTATGTATGTATGTATGTATGTATGTATGTATGTATGTATGTATGTATGTATGTATGTATGTATGTATGTATGTATGTATGTATGTGTGTGTGTGTGTGTGTGTGTGTGTGTGTGTGTGTATGTATGTATGTATGTATGTATGTATGTATGTATGTATGTATGTATGTATGTATGTATGTATGTATGTATGTATGTATGTATGTATGTATGTATGTATGTATGTATGTATGTATGTATGTATGTATGTATGTGTGTGTGTAGGTAGGTAGGTAGGTAGGTAGGTAGGTAGGTAGGTAGGTTGGTAAGGAGGGATGGAAGGAGGGACGGAGGGAGGTAGGTACTATGTACATATGGATGGATGAATTGAAAGCGATTAACCACACATCAGTGCAATGCTCTCCATGAAGTTCAGAGTAAATTGATGAATTCCAAAAGAACGATATACAAAACAAACATGAAGGCAAACAAGGGTAAAATTTTTAACATGCAATGCCAAATTGTATATTATATAAACTGCACTCCTTTCAAACGTGCAACAACTTAATTCACAGGAACATCATCTTCAGACACATCGGAATTGTTGCTTCCATTAGACTCCTTTTGTTACATGTTTGGCTGACGGATGTTTCTGCTTTTCCGCGCCAGCGGTTACAATTATTACTGATTATCACATGCAGGTAGACTTATCGAACCAGTTCGGCATTTCCGGGCCAGCAGTACCTGGAATTATTGACAACACGTCAGAAGTTCTGAAATTTGTTTAATAGAAACAAGATGCGGGCACATCAAGATTAAAAAACAAAATAAGAAAAATATATTAAGTTGTGCAGCAGTTTGAAAACGGGTAAAAACAGGGCTATCGTAAATAGTAATCGTTGTACCAAGCGTGATCCCACTCCACAATATATTCATGAAGTTTCTAGGTAGAAGTGAAATGGGGATGAGTATACGGGCATGCTCACACGAGGATGTCATGTGATTGTGAATTTTAACGTAGCATTAACAAATTTTCAGTCATATCGCTACGATGTCTGCAGTGTGGCAGTTTATAGTGATGTCTAGCACTGGGAATCATGCCGCTGACATGTAGCATGAGTCACATTATCCTGACACCAGGCCGACCAGTTCTAATACTAACCTCTTAATGCTGAGAATCAAGCGAGGAAGCTGTTAGTACCATTTTTGTAAGTCTTTGATATGACTTGACCGGAGTTCTAACCCACTACCTCTCCCATTCGAGGTGGACGCTCTAACCACTAAGCCAGGGGAGCTGTTCTCACACCAGGAACAACTCTTTTCCTAGCATACAATGATAGGGCGGATCATCGAAATCGTTATAACCTATGCACAAGATTGCAGCCCAAAGATCTCCAAAATACATGAACACATATATACACTAAGATCTCCAATAAACCTCTCCGGTGGCTTAGTGGTTAGAGCGTCTCCCTCGGATGCGGGAGGTCGTGGGTTCGATCCCCGGTCGAGTCATACCAAAGACTTACAAAAATGGTATTAACAGCTGCCTCGCTTGATGCTCAGCATTCAGAGGCTAGTGTTAGGACTGGTCGGCCTGGTGTCAGGATAATGTGACTGGGTGGGACATCATGCTATATGTCTGCGGCATGATGCCCCAGTGCTAGACATCACTATAAACTGCTACACTGCAGACATCGTAGTGATATGACTGAAAAATTGTTAAAAGCTACGTTAAAATCATAAACACACGGATCTCCAATATAAGAAATACATTTGTAAGCCCTTTAAAAATGGCATACTATTTACTTTTAATACTGAAAGGTTCTCTAAAATAAGTGACGGGAGACAACCTTACCTATAAACAAACCGTAACAATATTGTATATTTCTTAATCTTTTCTTTTTTCTTTTCTTACAAAATGACCATATGAGTGAGGTACAGCAATTGGAAGTTTAAGTTTTGTAATATTTGTAAACATTTAAACCTAGAAATGTGTTTGTAGAACACTGATGCCCATCACTGTGCCTGAAACGACATACAGGCAAAACTGAACCTGATTGTGGTTTACAGACAGACGGACGGACAAAGCAAATACTATTTGCCCTCACCACTGCTTGGTAGTTCATGTGTTGACGTCGGAATAGTGTTTTAAATATCATATCATTTGTATATTGGTTAAATTACGTCTAGTGCATCTACTGCACAGCTGGTAGCATCGATTGGTGATTGCCCGCTGTTATTTCGAATTTAAATAAAGATACCAATCATTCTAAGAAGAGGCTTGAAGATGAATCATTATTTAGCAGTCCGAAAAATCTTAATTCTGCAAATAAAGCCTTATTGCAAGTATTCTTTATTCATTTTTAAATTTATTATGTGTCATTTCCTACAATCTCATCTCAAAATATGATGGGATAATTTAGAAAACACATTAATTATGTTTTGTTTTAGACGACACTCCTAAGTTTACACAAATTGCTATCAAAATATGTTTGTAATCTTTCGTCTGGCTGTGATATGGCTTTCTGACAAGAAGTATATATTGTACGTGCCAAACAACAGCTTTTGTATGTTAGGTACATGAACTGGGAATACAGGGAAATATAGTTTATAAAATATGTTTGTTTCACAGGATAATAAAAGAAAATTGAAAGGATAAGTTAGCTGCGGAAATATGAAGTGTGGTTTGAGTGTCATATAGTTTAGGGCTAACACTTTTTGTTCATTTTAATTCAGTCATAAAAGCGTTTAGTCAAATTTAAAGTATTATGAGGACACACTTAGACTATCCGCACGATCGTGACACTATCAGCATTTACAGGTATAAAATAACATCTACCATGAATCATGTTGTGGTACGTAGGGTGCAACGACTTACGTCAACTTTTAATGTGCCATCCTAATCTTGCTCAACTTGTACGTATCCTCGAGGGCTTACGTGTACTTATCCTCGAGGGATTATGTGTACCTATCCCCGAGGGATTACGTGTACGTATCCTCGAGGGCTTAAGTGTACTTATCCTCGAGGGCTTAGGTGTACTTATCCTCGAGGGATTACGTGTACTTATCCTCGAGGGATTACGTGTACAAATCCTCGAGGGCTTACGTGTACTTATCCTCGAGGGCTTACGTGTACTTATCCTCGAGGGATTACGTGTACTTATCCTCGAGGGCTTACGTGTACTTATCCTCGAGGGATTACGTGTACTTATCCTCGAGGGATTACGTGTACTTATCCTCGAGGGCTTACGTGTACTTATCCTCGAGGGCTTAGGTGTACTTATCCTCGAGGGCTTACGTGTACTTACCCTCGAGGGCTTAGGTGTACTTATCCTCAAGGGCTTAGGTGTACTTATCCTCGAGGGCTTAGGTGTACTTATCCTCGAGGGATTACGTGTAATTATCCTCGAGGGCTTACGTGTACTTATCCTCGAGGGATTACGTGTACTTATCCTCGAGGGATTACGTGTACTTATCCTCGAGGGCTTACGTGTACGTATCCTCGAGGGCTTAGGTGTACATATCCTCGAGGGATTACGTGTACTTATCCTCGAGGGATTACGTGTACTTATCCTCGAGGGCTTAAGTGTACTTATCCTCGAGGGCTTAAGTGTACTTATCCTCGAGGGATTACGTGTACTTATCCTCGAGGGATTACGTGTACTTATCCTCGAGGGCTTAGGTGTACTTATCCTCGAGGGATTACGTGTACTTATCCTCGAGGGCTTACGTGTACGTATCCTCGAGGGCTTACGTGTACTTATCCTCGAGAGCTTACGCGTACGTATCCTCAATGGCTTACGTGTACTTATCCTCTAGAGCTTAGGTGTACTTATCCTCGAGGGCTTACGTGTACTTATCCTCGAGGGCTAACGTGTACTTATCCTCGAGGGCTTACGTGTACTTATCCTCTAGGGCTTACGTGTACTTATCCTCGAGGGCTTACGTGTACGTATCCTCGAGGGCTTACGTGTACTTTTCCTTGAGGGCTTACTAATAATAATCCTCGAGGGTTACGTGTACTTATCCTCGAAGTCTTACGTGTACTTACCCTCGAGGGCTTACGTGTACTTATCCTCGAAGGCTTACGTGTACTTACCCTCGAGGGCTTACGTGTACTTATCCTCGAGGGTTTACGTGTACTTATCTTCGAGGGCTTAATTGTACGTATCCTCGAGGGCTTACGTGTACTTTTCCTTGAGGGCTTACTAATAATTATCCTCGAGGGTTACGTGTACTTATCCTCGAAGTCTTACGTGTACTTATCCTCGAGAGCTTACGCGTACTTATCCTCAAGAGATACGTGTACGTATCCTCGAGGGTTAACGTGTACGTATCCTCGAGAGCTTACGTGTACTTATTCTCAAAGGCTTACGTGTACGTATCCTTGATGGCTAACGTGTACGTATCCTCGAGGGCTTACGTATACGTATCCTCGAGGGCTTAAGTGTACTTGTCCTCGAGGGCTTACTTGTAATTATCCTCGAGGGCTTACGTATACTTACCCTCGAGAGCTTACGTGTTCGTATCCTCGAGGGATTACGTGTACGCATCCTCGAGGGCTTACGTGTACTTATCCTCGAGAGCTTACGTGTACGTATCCTCGAGAACTTACTTGTACGTATCCTCAAAGGCTTACGTGTACTTATCCTCGAGGGATTACGTGTACTTATCTTCTAGGGCTTGCGTGTACGTATCCTCGAGGGCTTACATGTACTAATTCTCGAAAGTTTACGTGTACGTATCCTCGAGGGCTTACGTGTAACTTATCCTCGAGTGCTTACGTGTACTTATCCTCGAAGGCTTACGTGTACTTATCCTCGAGGGCTTACGTGTACTTATCCTCGAAGGCTTACGTGTACTTATCCTCGAGGGCTTACGTGTACTTATCCTCGAGGGCTTACGTGTACTTATCCTCGAGGGCTTACGTGTACTTATCCTCGAAGGCTTACGTGTACTTATCCTCGAGGGCTTACGTGAACATATCCTCGAGGGCTTACGTGTACTTATCCTCGAAGGCTTACGTGTACTTATCCTCGAAGGCTTACGTGTACTTATCCTCGAGGGCTTACGTGTACTTATCCTCGAGGGCTTACGTGTACTTATCCTCGAGGGCTTCCGTGTACTTATCCTCGAGGGCTTACGTGTACTTATCCTCGAGGGCTTACTTGTAATTATCCTCGAGGGCTTACGTGTACTTATCCTCGAGGGCTTTGCGTTCATTTTGCATCTGAATGTGTTCTTAGTTTTTTTATGACGATACAACAATCATTATTATATATTTTATGTTTATCTTTTATTTCTGTACCGACATTTTAAATTTTGAATGTTGTTGCAGATTAGCTTTATTTCATTAACAAAAAGATAAAAGGCCATCAGATATAATGACAACATGAAGAAAACAAAATACTCAGTTAAATAACCTGTTCTCTTTGACTATGGTTTTATTGTATACTCAAGTGTTAAATATACAGATTTATTGGCGAAATATTTTTTATATTTTATTCTCTTGCCTCTATTTTCACACGTGAAAAATATACCATTTTCCCTCATGCCTTGTGACGCTTGATTGTGTATGCCTTCAAAGATTGTACATGCAACAATAATACGAGTAGTTTGTGAACTAAAACAATCCCTGTTCTTATAATATTTATCAAGAATTTGCTGTCGACTTTAAAATTTTCTTGATCAGTATTGAAGAAGAATAAATGTGACCTGAAACAAACTCTAAAATCATTATGCCTTTAATTCAATTCTGAATATTATTACATGTTTTGCTATTGTTTATTTGAGGGATGCCAACAAAGTTGTCCATGTGATAATATGTTATTATAGATCTGTATATTCTCTTTCATGCTGTGTTACGACTGACTCAAAGTGGATCGATAAGGTTAGAAATAATTTCAACCGCTCGCCTATTTGATTTTAAGTTTGCTTTTAAAAATAGAGAAATCGTACATCTCCCACTCAACAAATCCTAACAGTGTCAATATACCATATATTTAATGGGTTACTTTACTATTTGTACTTTTATACCAAGCAAAACAATCGCTTTCAGTTTTAGTTATGTTTCTAAATGAAACCTCATTTTGAAATTTTACGCAGTTCGTTCTCCTTATTTCTAATTATTGTCACTATAGTTCTTTATGAAGTTTTCAATGTGCTTACATTACTTTATTGGTTAATTTGGACAATAATAAATTTTCAAAATTGATTTAAGTTTCGAAATCGATCATGTTTAGATTCTTGCAAGGACTTTCACCTCTCCGCCTCAACATTCTCTGATCCTTCCTAAACCAACATGAAATTAAAAGCACGGCTGAGTTTTAAAAAAAGCATAAGATAAAAGACTAGCACATTTTTTGGTTAACAAATTGTATGAGATGTTATCCTGCCTGCATGCATACCTACCTACCTACCTACCTACCTACCTACCTACCTACCTGCCTGCCTGCCTGCCTGCCTGCCTACCTACCTACCTACCTACCTACCTACCTACCTACCTACCTACC